TTGTATTTAATTAATAGACTCAAGGATAGAGAAGGTGTTTAGCCTCCCTTGAAAAGGAGGTGAATCAACTAGTCTTATCATGTCTTGATTATAATCTGTACTTTTAGCCCACTCTTCCTATCTCACATGAAGGCAAACAAGCTCAACAGCATAACCAGACGTGTGTCCGTCTTTGCGCAATCTAAGTGATGGTTAAAACATTATATGTATTCACCCTATCTAATTTAAGGTGAGGAAGGACTGTTAGTAGAATTTTCCCACAATGATGTGAATAGAGCTGACGTTAAAATATATGCAAAGAGGGGGTCATGGTGATTATCAAGCCTTAATGGCTGTAAACAGACGTTAATTTTGCTGTCCTATTTACTTTGAGCCATCATTTCTGGTTTCGTGCATATGCGAACACATACAGGCACATACACATACAGAGACAAACTCATTCACATGCTCCGAGGTTGGCATATGACGGTAAGTAACTAAATCACTTTATACCTCATCAAAGAGATCTGATATAGAGTATATATACAACTTTTTAAGTTGGTTTTCTTGACTCGTTAGATTGAATTTGTTTGTAAGGATGCTACGACGAACGAAAGCTTAGCATGCTTTTACCGGAATCGAAGTAAATTTTCTCAGAAACAGCGTCATCAAAAATGCTCCAGTAAAGCCAATCGATAGCTGGTCAAGATGAATCCGCCATCGACTTCTGGTGGAATCGAGCTTCGAATCTCTTCACCCAAAACTTTCACTTGAAATGTAAGTAAGCTCAATTATTATGTAGCAAGAGATTTCTCGAAACCCAATTTTTTTCATAGAATGAGTAATTTACAACACAAGAGTCAATTTTGACAATTTTGGAAGATTATCCTACCCAGCAAGACAGAGATAAGTATTGACAACTTTCTCGTGGATAAGCCATGAAGGATGTGAAGGGAGTATTGTACAGCAGAAACTAAAGAGATAATCTCTATTCGCTGACATAAACTGGCTTTACTCATGGGGATTGTCCATGAAGCCGATGTCTAATATGAGACTATCAGAGTCAGGTACAAATGACTATCTGAACATTGTGAAATCACTTATTAGGCTACGCTGAGGAGAAAGAGGTATCGAAAACACGAGAGGAGAAGATCAGATGAAGCAATAGAGTTCCGGACGACTAGTGATTCTAAACTAAAGAGAAAGACAGAGGGGTCAGTCTTAAAGGCCACAGGGGATGTGGTGTGGAGAGGCGGATAACTGTGAAATCGTGGTCCTTATTACAAGGCGAATGAAAAGAGCAGCTAGCGTAAGAATGACAGCTTCGCTGCCTTCTTCGGTAAATCCATGAAAATGTCGGAGACGCGAGTCAGAAGAGAATGAAAGATACAGGTCGGTCGGAGGAGGCACGGAGTGCAATAAGCAGGAAATGGGTTAAGCGGATTGCCAAACGAAGGTACAGTTTCGGATCAAGAATCCCAGTTCAGGGGATTGGAAAAAAGTGACCACGACCCAATAAATCTCGACTGCATCGGAACGATTAGGGAGTATAAAGGAAACTTTGTCATATGAAGTGGAAGTGGTACATATTGGAAGTGTATTGAGTCAGAGGAGTGGAGCATAAACTTGGCGACTTTGTAGCTCAGTGCTAAGGCTGACGACGCTTACTGAAAACGCCGACTATGACGCTAGCAAGGCTTCTCAATAGGTACCACTTCAACGGTCCGATGTTGGAGGAAAATGTGATAGCAATGACAACTATCACAGTTCAGGATAGGTGCTTCGAAGTCTCCTTGAGAAAACAACACAGTTCCTGAAACGGAGTCATATGAACTGAAGGCATCTTAATCTCCACACTTTATTTCCAATCCCTTAAACATCTGGACAAGTTAAAATCTTCACGTCCGGCATGGCCTTATTACTTGCTTATATTTCTATTTAGCTACATCTCCACGAGCTGCCTACATCGCCATTTTTTGACTTTTGTATTCACCCAGTGACTCTTCATTGAGCATATCACTATTTTATTTGTATTGGCCTATGCTGTCAGGGCGACCTTGTTCCGTGTCCTCTGCCATACAATTAGGATCGCTGACTTGGTACATTCCCAGACTTTTCACCGGCATCGTTAATTTTGTTTCGCCCCTTAGGCTAGCTATTCTCTCAAATACTTATCTTCTTATCTTTCATCTGAGCGGAATTGTCACGCTCTGTTATTATCCCCCACTTTATCCCAAGAGTGGCATGACAATCAGCTATATATATATATATATACCAACTGTATCCGTTTCTTTGAGAAAAACTGGGGTCTGGTGGTGGTCTGCAAGGGTGTGCAGCTGGCTGGCAGTAAGCTGGGTCTCTTTCATATGTTGCTCTCGCTTCTTCGGAGGCATTGCTCCTTTATGACAGGAGACTAGTTGGAAGTCGTGACTGGAATTTTCTTCCTCCCTCTAGAGGCTCCTTATCTGGCAGCAGTTGGCCCATCAGATCGAGGAGGACGGAGGGGGACGCCTAGGCACCCTAGACAATACCCCATGATGAGACCAATGGACGGATTACCTCGTCGTTCGTTTTCAACTAAGACAAAGACCACTTTGAAATGATTCGCATACTGAACTAGTGTGAGAGATGCGCTCTCCTGGGGTGCCGAGTTCTTATAGTCTTCCCAGTTATCTTTCATACCATGCCTGACCAGTATTGTTGTTCATAACACGTTTTCCACCCTCATCTTCACTCTGATGAAGACCATTTATACGGCTTTTACAATCGCCCCAATGAGGATTAACGGTCGTCCGTGTCATAAGGACTGTTTGGAGGGAATCGAAGAAATGACTCATTAAGTTAGGAAGAGTTGATTTTCTGAGAACGCCACGTTCTGATACACGTGGTTTTCATCTACTCCCTCCACAGGCAAAAGACTCTTCCTGTTTTCTACAAGGAGCCCTTCCATGAAGTTATTTTTAAAAATCTTAATGACCTTTATTTCATCTGGATGAGGAAGGGAGTCTCACTAAAAAGGAAAGGCGCCGGAATTTGCTATGACTACCTCATTTTTTCGCCGAATGTAGATATAGCAACAGTTGACGAACCCCTTTTCCTCTGATCTCACAGACATGGTCAAAAAGTTAGGAGATACAACATTACCAGACACATCTGAGATATATTCACCCAATTTCAGTTAAGGTGATTAAGGACTTGTAGTAGAATTTTCCCACAATAATATGAGTAGAGCTGACGATTCCATTAAATTACACATAGCCTTACTTTACCAAAAGTTGATATTTGTTTCCCACCCATGATTCTCCAGGACATAAAGTATAATATAGTATAGTATAGTATAGTATAGTATAGTATAGTATAGTATAGTATAGTATAGTATAGTAT